AAAGCCGGCTCTTTCATTGCCACTTTGCTTGGCTTCTTCATTGCATACCTATTGTAAATAGATTTTCAAGAATTTCTGCATTATAAAACAGCAAGTAGTAGGGACGGCGGCATCTAATACTATGCCAACCTCTAAAAATACCAAATCGTCGAAGTTCGGTCACAGTTCAAAACATAACAACAATAACTGATGTGTCTGTTCAAATGATTATTCTGTAAGTAATGAAGACTGGTATCAGTGCAAATTGTGCACTGGCTGGGCTCATAATTCATGTGGTAATAGAGGAAAGTTTAATTTTTATTGTAATAAGTGTTTTTAATTAGAAATGTTAATTTTTAATTAGAAATGTTTTCTATCTCTCAGACATTTATTAGTTTTCGAAGAAGATCATTTTTGTTAAAGAATAACATATTTTCATTTAATTTGTGTTATTAGCTTATAATTTAGTATCCGGTTTCTTCAAAATCATGTGGTAATAGAGGAAAGTTTAATTTTTATTGTAATAAGTGTTTATAATTAGAAATGTTATATTTTCTATCTTTCAGACATTTATTAGTTTTCTAAGATCATTTTTGTTAAAGGATAACATATTTTCATTTTATTTGTGTTATTAGCTTATAATTTAGTATCCGGCTTCCTCAAAACCAGTGATGGCTTTTTCAAAGCCATGTTGTGATGAAAGAGCCGAAATCCCTATTTTTAAAAAAAGGTGAATAAAATATGTTATTTACTAAATAAATTTTTTTTGTTAAATTAATCTTATAGATAAATAAGTACACTATTGTTAGAAAGCGGTTTTATTTTACTAATAACAGATTAAATACTTGTTGGAGATGCCCACAGTCATGTGCAATCCAAACGTTCCTTACAGTTTTCCTATCTATGTTACTCTTATTTCTTGGTACCATTGTATACCGCGCGAGGCGTCTGCCTACGATGTATTGCTTCGTATCTATATTCAGTTTAGTTCACAGTCTGTCAGTCATGTCGTACGGACTTACGCTACCGATTTTTGTGTTCGTGTAATTATTATAATAAACCACAAGTTCTACCGAGAAGTGCGTACAAGGATTATTCCTTCCGGTCCCGAGTTCCTCTAACAATACTTTTTTCATACTTTGAAAAATACTGGCTCTTTCATGCCCACTCTCCCCTACGTTATTGCGAATAGTATTATCACAGCCCCGGTGGTCGAGCTGGCTAAGACGCCCGTCACAGATTGTAGGGAGGTCCCAGGTTCGAATCCTGGCTGGGGTAATATTTTTCGCAATAAGGATTTTAATTGCCAGACACGGTCGACAAAAAATCACCGATGTTATTAATTTATAATTACTGCTGGCGACTTTAAGAATATTCTTAATAAAGAATTTTGTCTCATTCCAATCAGACCAGTTTTTACTGTCAACCCATATTTTTAAAAATTAATAACTTTTAAACAAAGAAGACTAAGAGAGGTGAACCCAACGGCAATAAATCGGTCTTTATGAGTACTACTGCTTATCTTGAGATACCAACTTGATATACCAACCACTCCTTAACTCATACTAAGTCTAAACATTTTAGTATTTTAAAACGGAATTAAGTAGTCATTTTGGACATCTACATATTCCAACATCCGAATTATGACAAATGAATAGTAAATTAAGCCTTAATTAAATTTAAAATTTTTGTTCCCTTTCAAGAAATATAGATGGGGATGAATGGTTACCACCAACTTCTAGAATAAGACCGCATGAGACATTGGAGCCATAATTATGAGAAATACAGCCCGTTCTCAGACACCA